TTCCTCTGGGCAGTAGTAAGAATTGAGCTCAGAGACAGCAAGCAAATGGGCAACAGAGACAGAAAAGAATGTCTTTCTTTGAAAGGATCCAAACATGGAGCCCACCCTTTTGGCTGGTTTCTCCCCTGAGTAGCAATAGAAGTTTCTTGTTGTGCTCCTTATCTAAGATCTGTGATGTCCATCTGTATGGGAGAAAGAGATGGAAAATAAGATGGGGACTATCTAGAAACATAGAAAACTGAGAGCAGAAAAAGACCTAGTGGTCCATTGAGTCTATCCATTGAGCTTTTTTAAAAATTATTTTATTATTTTTATTTATTTATTTTTATTTGGATTATTTTTTAATTTTTGTCAGATGGTGAACATATGTTTATCCCAATAATAATAATAATAATAATAATAATAATAATAATAATAATAATAATTTTATTTCTATACCGCCCTTCTCCCGAAGGACTCAGAGCGGTGTACAGCCAATTTAAAAACACAGGACACAACAATGATTAAAAATTAAAATAATTAAATAGATTTGGCCGATTTAAAACCCCAAAAATTTAAAATACCCCAATTTAAAATTATTATGTTGATAGCCCTGCCTGGCGGAACAACAGGGTCTTCAGTGCGCAGCGAAACACCCAGAGGTCGGAGATCTTACGTATTTCCAGGGACAGTTCATTCCACAGGGCTGGGGCTCCCACAGAGAAGGCCCTCCCCCTGGGTGTCGCCAGCCAACATAACTTGGCTGATGGCACCTGAGGAGACCCTCTCTGTGGGAACGGACTGGTCGGTGGGAGGCTATTGGTGGCAGAAGATCTCGGTCTCGAAGGTACCCAGGTCCTATGCCATGGAGCGCTTTGAAGGTGGTAACCAACACCTTGAATCGCACCCGGAAGACCACTGGGAGCCAGTGCAGCTCGCGCAGGAGGGGTGTCACGCGGGCACAATGAGTTGCACCCATAACCACCCGCGCGGCCGCATTCTGGACCAGTTGGAGCCTCCGAGTGCTCTTCAAGGGGAGCCCCATGTAGAGAGCATTACAATAGTCCAGCCAGGAGGTGACAAGGGCATGAGTGACCGTGCGCAAGGCGTCCCGGTCCAGAAAGGGTTGCAACTGGCGGATCAGGTGAACCTGATAAAAGGCCCCCCTGGCCACGGCCATCATATGCTCTTCTAAAGACAGCCGTGCGTCCAGGAGGACACCCAGATAGCGAGCCCTCTCCGTGGGGGGCAAAGATTCACCCCCCAATAGTCAGCGATGGCACCTGCTGACTATATCGGGACGCCGGCAGCCACAGCCACTCGGTCTTGGAAGGGTTGAGTCTGAGCCTGTTCCTCCCCATCCAGACCCGCACGGCCTCCAGGCAGCGAGTCATCACATCAAGAGCATCGTTGGGGTGGTCTGGGGTGGAGATGTACAGCTGAGTATCATCAGCGTACAGATGACACTTCACCCCAAAACCACGGATGATCTCACCCAGCGGCTTCACATAAATGTTGAACAGAAGAGGCGAGAGGACCGACCCTTGTGGCACTCCCCATGCGAGACGCTTCGAGGTCGACCTCTGCCCCCCTGCCAACACGAACTGCGAGCGGTCGGAGAGGAAGGAGGAGAACCACCGCAGAACGGTGCCTCCTATTCCTAACCCTCTCAACTGCTGCAGCATGATACCATGGTCGATGGTATCAAAAGCCGCTGAGAGATCTAATAGGACTAGGACAGAGGAGCAACCCCTGTCTCGAGCCCTCCAGAGATCATCCACCAACGCGACCAATGCCGTTTCTGTGCTGTGCTCCTGCCTGAAGCCCGACTGGTACGGGTCAAGCATGCTCAAACTCATTTACTGATGATTAACCCACTCATTACCTCGGCTGGCAGTTGATTCCAAGCTTTTGTGCAGTAATACTTTCTAACATTACTTTTAAACTTCCATCTTATAAGTTTGAGGTTATGCTCTTGTGTTCTTGATCTTTGCTTAATGTTGAAAATATGTATTGCCTTCTAGAATCTTATTCACACCCTTCATATGTTCAGAGTTGTCAGTTGTGTTGTCCCTTTCCCTTCTGTCCTCCAGGCTGTACATATTCAGTTCCTCCAATATCTCCAGATATGTTTTTGTCCCTCAGTCCATGCACCATTTTTGTTGCCTGTCTCTGGACGTGTTCAATCTTATCAATATTATTTGTATATTTGAGGGGGGAGGGTGAAAGAGACACAGAGGCTGATGTTAAAAAAAAAACAACTTTGCTACATAGCTTTTATCCAAGATTATTAGAGTCAGACCCACCCTTCCTTAATGTCTTCATAGGCTCTTGGAAAGTTGTTCTGTGAGCATACTTTTACATCCGGCTCTTGACATTCTTGTTGCATCCTATGCTGTCAGAATGTTCTCTGAGAGTCTGAGGATCCCTGATTGTTTGGTACAGTTGTGTGCATGTTGCATGGTGTGTATGTGTCAGAGAGGGGACAAGCATAGGAAAGAAACTGAGAGTGAATAAGCATGTGTTGGAGCCTTGTGTGGACTGCAGTCTCCCCTTCACCCCTCCCCTTCTCTTTGGCTAGTTGCTGTAGTTCTGATCTCCTTATTTGGCTAGGCTGTTTCCAAAGAAGGGGTGGGGTGGGGTGGGTGAAAGGGGAGGGGGAAGCAAGAGGGAGATTGGGTGACATCATAGAGCAGCAGAGAAGAGGTTCCTTTAAAAAAAAAAAAAAAGGAACATGAAACATTAAGCCAGCCCGTTGTCTCTACAGTTTCTTTAAAAGGAGATATCTGCATTGGACACCTTAGTTGTGTGTTCTCTCCCGGAAGCCTCCTGCCGGAGAAGACACCTCTCTGCTCTCATCACCCCATGAGCAGCTGGTGGTGGTGCTGCAGCCCCCAAACAAGTTATTGCAAAACACCCAGCTGCCTTTGGAGTTGTGTGTAGGAAGAAACCGGCACAATTTCCACTGAATTGCAAACAGGGTTCTGCAGAATCTTTCTGAAAATTATTTTTAAAAAATAGGGGGGGAAATCTTGTGATTTCTCAGGACTCTCATCATAAGAAAGAACGTATATCCAGTTTTCTCTCCAAATCAATGTCCAACCATTGTCTCAATAGATTATTTCAAATCACTGAGAAACTTATGTATTCCTTCTAAACATTAAAACTATAATGAGACAGTATGGTTTGCCACAAAAACTACTCTATATAATTTAGGAGTAGAATTCAATATTTTTAATCATGTAATTTTGGGTAGTTTTTATCAGCGTGGAAACAAAGTGGGTCTCTGCTTTCCTCTCTGGCTGAGCAATTTCATTTTCTCAAAAGCGCATCAACATGTTCAGTGGCACACAAAAAAATTATCAATTGGACAAAGCAGGATTTACTTCTAAATAAAGCACGCCTTATACCAGGCTGTAAGTAAAATTTATCAGCCTGCTATTGAACAAAATAGTGTTTCTCTGAAAATGGAAATGTGAAAGTAAAAGCTTGGATTTAACTACTCACTACCAGTGCTGAATATTTGAAAAATGTGCATCAAATAATAGATATGGAATAAATATAGAAATGTAAGATACAAAATCCCATTGCTCTAATCCTTTTCTGTTAGAAGTCTGCAGTAGATACAATTGCTGTTTATAATTTTTAAATTCAGAAGGCTTTTTTCTTCCTTCAATTTTTTTTTTTTTTTGGTATAACACATAAAAGATCCTTAAGAGCTGTTCACTGTAACAAATCGTTTTTTATCTCTTCGTTCCTTTCTGCATCTTCTGAAAAACATTTGTCTGAGACTCATCCGAATTGTCTGAAGGAGGAAATTGACCAAAGTTAAATTTAAATACCTCTGTAATAAAGCAATGTATTTTTGACCAATTCCCTCTTCCCGACTCAATCACATTCAAGAAGGCTTCATAATTTCGGGGTTGAGAGGATTACATTAAAAGAAGTATAAGAAAATATCCTTCCAACCACATAGTCTTTAGTGTTTTTGTCAGTATTTAATAGATACTTCTGATTCAGTTCTAAGAAAGGTGTATTTTTTAATACACTGTATTAATTTTATCTTTTGTAATGTTATGTTCCATCTAAAAGTTTTACTTACACAATTTTTAAACATTTTACATGCTTTAGGCAGTATAGTTTCAATGAAATACTTCCACTGCCTAATTAAAATTACACAGATAAAAAAATCAAAATAAAATGAAGGCACTAAAAACTGTTAATACAATATTTTTATTACAATCTATGCATTACAGATTATTACAACACACAAAAATGATAGTTTTGATGTTCAACTTGATGAACATTAAATCCTTGATTGGATTGTTTGATTTGTCTTAATTCATTATGTTATCAATTAATTTTATAACACAGTGTTTTTCTTAAACAAAAGTATATTGTGCTGATGAAAATATTTCCAAACCACATCACTGTTAAAAATGTTTAGTGGCTTTCTCCAATAGTCACAGTATAGTTCATCATGATGGAATGGATTTAGATTTGAATATTTGTTTCTTAATGTAAACAAAAGTACAACCAAGATAATTAGAAAATAATTTAAATTATTATTTCTTAAAGATCATATTCCCTGTGTTTGCTACATGTTATGTGGAAGTGGGACAATGGTACATATGGGAGGGATTAAATTTCTGATACAATTTTGTTAGAAGTTCTATTGCTTAAATAGGTTTTTGAGCCAGAGCTATTTAAATATTCAATATATATGAGAAAATACCTTTTGGTTTTTTGGATAAGTGTTAAACAAGGCAGGGGATATATAAAAGCATTGAAACATTGCTACAATTATGGCCAACAAATGTATAATAGTTAGGACATCAGCTGTAAAAGTGTTTAATGTATATGTTTAAAAATACTTACTATGAAACAAAAGTTTAAATTCGGGTCTTCACCCATACTGATGTTTATGTGATTCGAAATTTGTTTTTAACTTCAATCTGGAGGTTAAGATTCCATCTATGCTCAATAGCAGTTCATTAATCAACCCTCTTTGCTTGTTTTAGGCTGACGAATTGCCTTTTGGGGCTCAGGGTCAGAGCCCAGAGCAGCCATCACAATAGCGTCCAACAGCTGGAACACCAGCGGCAGCCCTGGGGAGGGGCGAGAAGATGGACAAGAGGGAATGGACAAAAGTCTGGACAATGATGCCGAAGGAGTGTGGAGTCCAGACATTGAACAGAGCTTCCAGGAGGCACTGGCAATATATCCGCCCTGTGGTCGGCGGAAGATTATCCTCTCAGATGAAGGCAAAATGTATGGTGAGTGAGATTTGGTTTTATGACTTACGTAATAAAAGCTGGATTTCAGACAAGACCCAAGGGCAATAGCTTGATAGATTTTATTTACTATTCAATTAAGCATACTTATCTCCCACCTTCCTTCAAAAAAGTCAACAAGATATACCTATGCCACCCCCTCCTTCTATACTCACAACCATCATAGTTGAATAGTGGTTTTTTGAATTTATTTTCAGAAGCGTACATGCTGCTCCAAAATGCTTCTTTGTGGAATGCAATTCCAAAAGCTAGCATGTAGATTAAAAAGTACAGTGACAAAATATAGTGATAGGTAATAAATTATACATAACAGGTTAAAAATGTAGTACAGAGACAACCAGCAATAATCACTCTAGCCCCTCATCTCTAAGAGAAACTATCTTCTGAGGAGCTTGATGCCTGAGCAAGGATTTGCATTTTTCTAAATTTAATCTGAAACACAGTGACTAAAGTTTAGAAAGAAAAGAAAGAAGGGGCTATATTTATCCAGGAAGTACACTGATTTAATTAAATAGGACAGCCAACCATTGTAGTCTAATAATCCAGTACATAGTAAGGTGGATCTGGATATTAACTTGAAAAAGTAGAAAATTAGGTATAGATAGTTCTTGACTTAAAATTGGGAACAGAATCTCAGTCACTGAGTGAAGCTGTCATTAAGTAAAATGCCCACATGACAGTATCATCCAATGAGCACAATCCCAGCACTCCCAATTGTGGTAGTTAAGCAGTCTTTTAGGTTGTTAAACGGATGGCGCAAACAGATCTTCAGAGGAGTTCCCCTCCACACACGGAAGGGAGCTAAACTCTTCAGGCAGCTCTTTTGCTCCATCCGCTTAACAACCTAAAAGACTGCTTAACTACCGCAATTGGAAGTGCTGGGATTGTGCTCATTGAATGATACTGTCATGTAGGCAAACAGAACTCCTGATTTTGGGGATCTGATCTCCATTTCTGTAGCCTGTCAAAGGAGTTCCCCTCCACTCGGCAGGCAGCCCTTTTGCTCTCAAAGGCCTGTCTGGGATGGGTGGGGAATTACAGCTCTGTGGCGCTGAGTTTCTAGGGAAGCAACAGAGAAATTTGCCAATGCCAATCGCATGATCACAAGGTGCTTGGCTACCAGTCAGTCATAAGTACAAACAGGTTGCCAAGCACCTAGATTGCAATTGTGTGAGTGGAATTTTGCAAAGTTCAGAATAGGTTTATGGGCTATAAATGAAGAGTCATAAGCCAAGGACTACCTTTGTCTTTGTCATGCAATGAAACTTGCAGGCTGCAGAAGGATAACTTTTGCAGAAAATCTATTTGTCAGATATTGTAAAGTTCTCCTTGAATTTGATAGTTTTATCTGTGGTATTAGCTTCAGTGCTACCTTAATCTGGCACAATAACCATCCTTTTACCACGAGTCTGTGTTAAAACATCATAAAAGTTCACCGTTGTGTAATGAGATAGTAGGGATTTGCCTTTTATAAACATTCTGAAGTTTAAAGCATGTACTCCTAATGTGCAGACCTCGAAAACAAAAAATGGGATTTTGCTCCTGGCCCTTTAATTGGCTGCTTTCTGGATTACTGGGCCCTTGATATATTTTATCTCCCTGGTCAGTGGGGGTTGTAGTGAGGACAATGGACTTCCAGAAGCCATATTGTGAAGGGCTTATGGCTTGTGGGGGTGGTCATATTGAAGTGAATAAACAGAGTGCTGAACTCTTCTTCGCTGGATCCGTGACTCATATTTCCTTTGTAGTTCCCTTAAACTATATATCCCTCCCACTCCCTTATGCCTCACCTCTTTTCTCCCTCCCACTCTTCTTTCTGCCTGACTTGATGAACTGGTTTGGGAAGTTCATTCCTGTCAAAGGAAGATTGATTTTTGTCTGCTTGAGGATCCCACATACCTGCCTTTGGGTGTGAAAGGTGGTATATCTGGCCTCTAATGCAGGTCACAAACAAAACACCACATTCTTTCCAAGGTCTGCTCACTACCCATTTACAGTACCTGTATTTGAATTTTCTTTGTTGCCACATCTGTGTTTTTCTTGCTTCTAACTATGGAGCAGATTTGAATTACCATTTAAAACTCAGTAAGGAATGGGCTACAATTTTTTTTCCAAGGGGAATTGCCTCTTCCATCTTGATTTTTTTTTTTTTATCGATCTAATAAATGTGTCTTAAGTTAAAACAGTGTTTCTCAACCTTGGAAGCTTGAAGATGGGTGGACTTCAACTCCCAGAATCCCCCAGCCAGCACTGCTGGCTAGGGGATTCTGGGAGTTGAAGTCCACCCATCTTCAAGCTACCAAGGTTGAAAAACACTGAGTTAAAACAACCAAATGTTTTCTAAAATCTTAAAGCAGAGTTCTCCAGGCTAACGAATGGGATTCTGGAAGGGGAAGTCTGTAACTTCAGTAGGGCATCCAGTCTACTCAGAAAGGCTGCTGTAAAGGCTAACTCATTGATTGTGGCCAGGCCCTGAGATAAGGCGGCTATGTTTGTTTACACCAATAACATGCAAATCTTAAACCTATTCAAAATGCTATAAAAAACTTACCTGGTTGTGTTTTCTTTTTGATGCATACATATTATGCAGGAAATCACAAACTCCCATGTCTCAAAATAGTATGCCTCATAAAGATAGGACTTCATTTATGTTGGGCCATGCACCTCACTAGAACCAACACTAACTTCAAAGTGGTTTGGCTTCCACAGTGGGGGAATGATAATATTTTATCAATTACTCTTGTGACATGATAGTATGAGGCATAACACATAAGACATTAACACGAGACATTTGTAACATGAAAGACAGCCAAACATATCTTTTATACTATGAAACAGAGCGCTCAGAATCTGAAACTCCCTACATTCATTTTTTTTTAAAAGCTGGTGTTGAAAAAAATTACAATATTTTGCCTACATCTTTTATTGTCATTGGTTAATTCTTCATATGTAATCCATAAAATTTTGAAAACTTAAAAGAAGAGGAAGGGGAAAATGAAGCTCCCCCATTTTGATTTGGTTTGAATGTAAAAAATTGATATACTTCCATATCCTAAATTTACTTATTGGAACTGTTTTTGAATGAACTGATTTCCCTTTGTACTGGTATCTGGTTTTTCTTTCTCTGGAAGGCTTTAATCCTGGATACATCTGAACTACATCCTATACAATAAAGTATAAACAATCATTGCATTGCTCCTTCCCACTTATCTGTTCTACCGTGTTCCTTTTGTGATGTCATAATCCTACGCTTGTGACCTCAAAGAAATATTTCCATGGGAATGATTGTTCTGTTAGCAAACACCAAGTTAATAATCTTGCCAAATGAATCAGGGATAGGGAGGTAACTGCCTGTTGCTTTAAGCACAACATTGTTTTCGTCAAAGCCTGCTTAATTGAGCTTGTTTAAGTCAAGGTCTGAGCTTCCTTAAGCATAACAATGTTTTTTTTTTCTTTGATAATGCAAGCTTATTTAGTCCTTAATTTGGGGATAGGAGATAAGCAGCTATGAGTTAAAAGATCATATGAAAATGGGTACATATATTTTCCCCTATTTTTATGGTACTTCCAGAATCTGAGATGTATCTCTTTTACCTTACCTTTACAGCATAGATGAGGCCATGTTACATTAATCTTTCCTTTATGAATGGAAGGGCAATTGCCAATTTCTTGGGAAGGACTTACCCAGATGGGATCATTTAATGGGACCACCCAGATGGGGTCAGTATCCCAGGCCACTCTTCAACTAGGTAGTTGGTTGGGATGCTGATATGAAATATGGCTGCTGAAAATGATTTGGCAAAAGTCGGGTGCTTACTTAACTCTCCCTTTATATTAAGTTACACTGTAGGTTGTTATTCTAATGGTTATTTCATAAGCATGATGAGGGCTTCCATACTGCGATTACCCTACTGATGACCATTATATAGTAACTGTAACTATTTGTTGCTTTGAAGTTGTCTATCCAGATCTGTTAATCCTCTAAAAGTAAAAATGCTATTACATGAAAAGCCTGTCCCTAAATGGGCTGTAGATTTCCATGTTGCAGAAATTAATCAGGTTGCAAACATACTTCGTTTATTTCATTTGCTTGTAAGGCCAACTAAAGACATTGGTTAGATACCTGGCCCAGGTATTTCTTTTAATGACTTATTTTTCTGATTGAAGTACTCCTGCTTTGCATCATTCTGTAATTAAGAAGAGAGACTGGAAAAGAAACTGGACCTTTCTATTTCATACTAAGATAAACTTAAGAAGCTGCTACATTGCACCTTAGCTTCCTTTAGTCAACTCCTCTGTACACAATTTAGCAGGACCACACACTCTGAGAGCTCTTGAAAGGAATGGAAGATTTCTGAACAGACATTTTAAAAAAGATTTCTCCAGAAATATCTGGAGTACTGCTGGGAAGTTTGCCCTTTGTTCTTCAAACCCAAGCGTACAAACTGGTTTTTCCAGCCACTTAGAGGCATCTGGAAATCACTTAAAGAAACAGCAACCCTGCTCTACCTTTGCTTTTCTAACTTGACAACTTAAGAACTGGTATTTTAGATTTTGCTTCATACTAACTCCTTTTTTTTTTTTAACTCAGTAGCACTTTAGTCCATACTTTGCTTGCGATAAGTAGAATGGAGTCATGCTTTCTTGTTGGATACCCTCCGAGAATATTTGGAGGAAGGAACTACTCAATTAATACGCTTATCTTTTTATGTAAGATGGGAGAAGATGCCTGATTAATGGGCTCCATCCTGTTTCTTTAAGCCCTGTTCTGTTTGCCAGAGGCTACCTTGGAAGAGGGTCCCTAATCTCTTTGATTAGAAGGAAGCTTGAAGCACTAGATCATGGGTGTCAAACTCGCAGCATCACGTTGCCATCACATGACGTTTCTTGATGTTTCCCCCATTCACAGAGCTGGGGTGGCCGTGGCCTGCGTGTGACATATCCGGCCCGCAGGCTGCCAGTTTGATATCCCTGCACTATAG